CCCCAAAACCCCAAAACCCCAAAACCCCTGTTTTAAGATTAAAAAAGAATATTAAAAGTTAATAAAAAAAGAAGCAAAATATTATTAAAAGAAATGAAAGCAAATCGAAATTAAAGGTCATAAGATAGACAATAAATTGAAGCTAAAGATTTCCAATATATAATTGAGTCTGTGAAAGAACAAAACAATAATGATAAATTTCTTGAGCTAAGCTAACAGGAAAAAAATGGAATTCTTAATCTTAATAAAAATCCCCAAGATAATGTTGGAAGTAAATTAAAACGACGAGAGCAGAGTGCTGGTCCGATCAAACGAGAAGTAAGATTCACACTTGACCAACCAATAATAAATGATAAGGTTAGTTAAAATTCAGGTCAATATCTATTAACTCACTCTTACTAAATAGAGATAAACTACTTCGAATGCTGATCAGATTAACACTTCTATGCTATTTGATTAAGTTGACTTTGAAAAGTTGTCCTTAGATGATTTCGTATTTGGGAAAAAATTAGGGAGTGGTTCATTCGGTTAAGTTTTCAAAACTAAATTCATGATTAACAACTAGTCTTATGCTTTGAAAAAGCTAGAGAAAAAGTTCATAGAGAAGGTAAGTATGAAATCAGATATATCATAAATATCCTTTATCAGAATAGAAATAATTACTGATGATGTAAATATAGAATAAGAAATAAAAGAATCTGTAGAGGGAGAGAAATATTCTGATGAGTTTGGAGCATCCTAACATTACTTAACTTTATTAAACTTTCTAAGTATCCCTTATAAATATAATTGTATATCTATAGGACCAAAAACATGTTTATTTCCTTTATGAATATGTTAATAAGGGTACGTTGTCTAGAATGATTAGGAAATTTGAAGGTAAATTTCCTATTGACCTTGCAAAATTCTATATCGCCGAGATAATAGTCTCTTTGGAATACCTGCATAACCAAGGAATCATTCATAGAGATATAAAACCTCAAAATATTCTTATTACTAAGGATTATCATATAAAATTAGTATGTATTAAATTTGAAGATCATTTTTCTAATAGTGCGACTTTGGTGACTCAATTAGACTTGATTAGGGGAAGTACTTTAAAGAGGATAAAGATGTTTCTTACCTAATCCCTCAGTAAGGCACTTTTTGTGGTACACCACTTTATGTCTCTCCTGAAATGCTGGAAAAGAGTATTTCTTCTCCAGGCGCAGACTTATGGGCGCTTGGAGTGATAATATACGAATTAGTTTGTGGAACAGTACCATTTAAATCTAGTCAGGAATGGCAGACTTTCCAGCTAATCATAAATGTCGATTATAAATTTACTCCTGCATTCGATAAATATTCTTAAGATTTGATCACCAAATTACTTAAAAAAGATCCTTAATAGAGAATTGGCGCTGGTCCACCCGGAAGTAAAAATGATTTCTAGGTCTTGAAAGAGCACCCTTTTTTTGATGGTATTGATTTCAATGATCTACATCTATAACAACCTCCATTGAAGTACTCTTAGATTAAGCAGTCTTCAAAATTGAAGCATTAATCGGCGATTATAAAAGAAGTTGAGACTGCAGAACTAATGAATACTAATATTAGCAAATAAAATCACAAACGACACTAGACAATAGATGCTGACATGTTTATGAAGGAATAGTAAATTAATTAACTTACTAATAATGTGAATATGATGTCCTTCAATAAAACTCCTCCTCTGCCTAAAAGAGAAATGATGCAATAAATAAAAGAGCTTAAGAAGGGCTTGCTTAAAAAGAAAAATCGCTTCTACATGCAACAGCAAAGGATTTTTATTCTTACATCAGAGCCAAGGCTTAAGTACTACAAAAATGATGCAGATTTCAGAGGAGAAATATCGTTAACTCAGGATGTAGTGGCTAAGTACAATGGAGATGGAAGTTTCAAACTTTCAACAAATAGAAAGGTCTATGTGCTTAAAGAAGTCAACGCTGGGGAAGCTGAGGAATGGGTAATTGCGATTAATAATGCTGTGGAATAGTTTGGACAAAATTCTAATTCATCTGTGAAATAATGATACTGTTAGCCCTATATATAAATTTTAACCGTAAAGTAAATACCTTAAGACTTTTGCAGTCATTAAAAATGAGACTATTAATGAAATTTATATTTTTAAGTTTTCGATGTTATTAATTATTAGCGAGAATAAAATTTTCTTTGTTTACTAATGCAATGATTTTAGCAATGCGGGGTTTTGGGGTTTTGGGGTTTTGGGG